CTGCAGACTCTTAGCAAAAATTGTGGGGAGAATGTGTTTCAGCAGATTGTTGAACGGGATATATTACATGAAATGGTCAAAATTGTAAAGAAGGAGGTGGTTTAGTCTTTTTGCCTATTGATATCTTCATCTTTTCTCCCCATTGAGGTCCTAATATCTTTTACGTCTTCCTTAAATTATACTTCTGCAGCCGGATTTAAATGTGAGGGAGAAGATTTTAATATTGATAAATACTTGGCAAGAAGCTTTAGGGGGTCCTGGGGGAAGGTTTCCCCAGTACTATGCTGCCTACAATGAACTGAAGGTGGACAATATTTCTTTACCTCTTTCTCTTTCAATAAAGTTTTTTTTTTCTAACTTAATCTATCATATTCTTCTTTATAGGGAGTAGATTGATGCTTATGAAACCCATCTTACTTAGAATCATCTCTATATACTCAAATTAGATTGATGCTTCATGTTTAAGCTAGAGTTATATAACTCATTGAGTCACTTTATATCAAAATATTGACAGTCTGCTGGTGTGGAATTTCCACCAAGAGAGGAAAATAGGGTTCCATTGTTCACCCCACCTGTCCACCATAAACGCAACCAATACAACTGTATCCAGTAGCTGAACCTGCTTCTGCATATGAAGAAGCTGCTGTTCAGGCATCTCTTCAGTCTGATGCTTCTGGACTGAGGTACATCATATCCTACTTATATCTCATTTCCCATCTTCCTTGATTTTTTTATTTTTTTATTTTGTTCATTTTTTGTGCACGTACTATGAAGCCTTTCAAATTTTAACTGTTAATTTTTGTTCAGTTGTAAGGAGATTCCTAAACTAACTTGCCAGATATTGAAAAAGCCGTAGTTTCGTCTGTTTGGTCATTTTATGATTTTGAGTATTAGTTGTTGATGAAAATTGGACCTTCTTTCTTGAACTTTGTTATTCTTTGCTTTATACAGTTTGCCAGAAATTCAAAATGCCCAGTGACTTGCAGATGTTTTATGTGAAATGCTTGGTGCCTTGAACCCCCATGATCGTCAGGTTATAACTTCTTTCATCTATTATTTCATTTCCCTTTATTTTGGATAACTTACTTTCTTCACACTTTAATGAAAAAAGTTAATTTAGAAAGTAACTCCAACCTTACTGTCAAAATAAAAATTAAAAGCATTTTTGGCTAAGCTCAAAAGTAGTAGCTTCTTTGTGACAAGTAAAAAAAAAAATGTTATTTATTTGAGTAAATTTACATATAAGTAAATTGTTTATGCTTTGCCAAGCATGCTTTTGTTTTAGAATAAGAGTTATTGTTTTTGCATTAATGTAAGATTTGTAACTTTTAGAGACCCATAATATCTTGTGACGAGAATGCTACTCAGAGACATTTATACTTGTGGATTTTGAATATGTTGATATTTGAGCATAGGGCGTGACGCAGGGACGGATCCAGGACCGGACGACAGGGGGGGCTAATACGTAAAAAAAAAAAAAAATTACACATGAAATTTTTTTTTTCCCAAGTAAAAAAAAATTTTTTTGGGGGGGTCCGTCCCTGGCGTGAAGTGACCATTGACCTGGTTGAACAATGCCGTTCATACTAAAAGGGTGTCATGATTCTTGTGAAAAATACTGAGTGGGAATGTCTTTTTGGTCATTTTATAGAGTATAAATTAATTGGGTGGATCCATCTTTATTGGGATTCAGGCTTCTTTTTGTGCAGAGTTGAGGATCTTCTATCTAAGGGATTAGCTTTGATTGATAATTTGCAGTGAGTTCTTTTTGTCAGCATGATGATTTAGAAAATTAAGTTCTTCATTTGGACACTACGATGTGCAATACTTATAAATAAAAAAGCTAATTTTTCTCTGTTGCTTTACTTTGGCTTTCTAGTTTATTGAGCATTGCAGTCTCAAGTTTGTCTCCTCCTGCTCACCCTCTAGATCCCACCTTGACTCAAATTCATCTAAGTTTCCCAGATTTTCTTCACTACGGTATTTTGAGAGGAATCAAAAGCATTGAATAATTCAGTATAAGATGCCATTTCCTTCATTTTTTTATTTTTTTGAATTGATACATTTTAATGGATGATCATTTGATTTCCCACAAGCGCACGGGATTGTGGTCAAGTAATAGAGTGATGAATAGAGTGTCGAATCTACGAGAACTATGTATTTGGCCAAGTTAAAATTAATTACATCTTTAATCGAATAGTAAACAAATTTCGTGATTTTTCTATACTAATCCCTAAATTATCAATTAAACTAGTGAAAGTAAGTAAATGCGTTTTTCAAATATGTGAAATGCATTGTTAAGATGTCGAATCTCCCTTGTTATTTCATTTTTAATGTAACAATTAAGGTGACAATTTGAAATCATTCATATTGATCAATATTCCTAATTTAATTGAAAGTCTCTCTTGATAGCGATCAAATATATTCCCTTCATGTGACTTTTCTATCTCTTGATGAAAGATGGAAACATGATAAATGCATTAACAAGTGTTAGAACACATATTTAAACTATATAAATTATAGAGGTATAAACAAAGATAAAAAACTAAAAATATCATAACAAAGGTTTATCTCATCCTAGCAATATATAAAACTAACCTAACATATCGAAATTACAAGAAAACATATTTAAGTGGGAGAACATAACCCGAATTTTTTATAAATTGAAAAGAAGGTGAATCTTGAATCTCTTCAATGGTTTCTTGATGAATTTTCACTTGTGCCCTTCTTCTTTGTCCAAAAATCGAATTTGAATCTTCAATTGATTGAATTCTTGCAAGTCTCTTTCAATTCTCTCACAAAAAGGGATAATAATTGATGAGTATTGAAGTATAATATGTATATGAGAGGTTTCTAAGATGTATTCTCCTGTTAAATATTTGTAGGAGTTGAAAATTGGTTGAAAATCACGTCCAAATTGGTTTTCAAAAGAGTTCCAATCGAATAAAGAAAATTGCTTTCACGCGCGGATTTTTTGTCTATGCACAGTCGTCAGAATTTTGATCATAACTTTCTCTCCCGATATCCGATTGATTCGATTCAAAGTGCATTGGAAAGCTAACTTAAAAGGCTACAACTTTGCTAGAAACAAATGTTTTCCACTTCGGACGTTTACTATACCAAAAATGGGTCTCAATTTTTGACTAAAAATATGGAATATAACTTGTGCGATTGGAAATTGATTTTGATAATATTTTGATAATATTTAATTTCTTTTTGAGTTATAATTCCATCCAATTGTCTCCTATCAATCTTTAAAGTATCTTGTGGTCCAAATCAACTATTGAATATTTACAATTTGGTCCTCAAACTTTGGACTTTGCCCATTTTTCCTCGATTTTTCTTTTGTTTCTTTCAATTCCTCGTTCATCCATTTAGTTTAACATATATAACATAAAATACAACAATTTAAGATATATTTTNATATAACATAAAATACAATAATTTAGGATATATTTTGTCAAAAGAACTACCAAATATCTATATTTTAGGCCCCGAACAAGTGTATAAAATTAATTGAACTAGGAGGAAGAATAGTGGTTTTTTTTTCCCTTTTTTATTTATCAATTTAAGCTCGCTAATTCTCTTGCATATATTTAGTAGTTAAGAACATTCGTTAGTTCTCTTGCATATATTTCGTAGGTAAGATCGTACGTCACTTTTAATATCTTTTTGTTTCCAAACATGTTTGGATAACTTACTCTCTTTCCTTAAAAATGAAAAGGCTGCTTATTTTTATAGCTTCTCTTTTCTTACCAAAAAAAAAAAAAAAAGTTACTTGTTTTCAATTTTGACCGATAGTCTCGCATGTAATTGCAGATCATCAAGGGATACAATGCAAGGACAAGGGCAGAAGTCAGTCGTCGCTAAGAGCGAACCTGTGTGGATCAGTCGCATTCTTCCTCCTCCATCAAGGAAACCAACTAGTGCAGACTCGGGAATGGTTGATTATTTCAGTGGTGATGTTTACAAAACAGAGCGATTTTCAGGAGCATCGGGATCTATACATACTGCTGTCCCAGACAATTCCAACAACCATAATCCGGTCCGTTCCCCCAGTCCGATGCTATCTTCTACCCCTCATGATTTTTTCAATCCCACAGCATCAATGTTCGCACCAAAACCTGCTTACAAAGAGCCTGTTCCTACAAGCAAATCTGCCGACCAATTTCCTCCTGCTCCTTGGGATGTTCTGTCCGCAAATGTCATCCCACCTCCACCTTCTAGGTACAACCGAAGGCAGCAGTTTTTTGAGGAACAACATGTTTATGGTGGTGGCATCGCTAATTCGAGTAGTGGGTCGGGTTCTTATGATGGCTTAGCTGTAGAAACCCAGAATCTCTCAATCAAATCACCAACCTCCAAACAAGAAAAACCAGAAGATGCCATTTTTAAAGATCTACTTGATTTTGCAAAAGCCAAGTAATCATCACCAAAAGCTAATAGGCGTCGGTGCAGATTATCGTGTCAGTACAGAGTAGCCTTGATTTCTCAATTATTTCGTTTTTTTGTTGAACACCGTGAAGACTTGAGAAATAAATGTCCAATTGCCAACATTATGTTTCGTGACTTGGATTCTGTCCTTCTGTATAGTTGGTCCATGTTGTAGCTGTGATGCACTGCCTCTGTTTGCAAATATATTTTGTTTTATTTTTCATACGCATATGGTACTCTTGATGTAATGTTGATCGTGTGCATTACTTTTTGTTTATATAATTTGGTTAATCACGTGTAGTACTTTTATTTCAGTGGATCATTTAAGTCTGTGAATGATATATAGTTTTATTTAATATTGCATACCATATCTGCATATAGCAAGGGTGTACAACGGCTCATTCAAGTTTGTCATTTGGTACATCAGAATCAGTCAAGAAATCAAGAATAAATCTTAAAGGTGCAAAAGAATCAGTTGACCTTAAAAACAATTCTTGTCTGTACCAAACATTGTGGCTGATGGATCTCCTTCAAATGCTTATATTGCCTGCTTGTATTGCATAAAATTAAAGAAGGAAGGCAACAAATGCTTGTAAGACAGCTTTTGGAATTCCCGAAGTTTTTGAAGCCCCAGAACTTTCTTTGCTTGCAGATAAAAACCCATTAGTCTTATCTCCTCGCCCCTGAAAAATGAACGTGATTCATTAAAGCCATATCGCGAACAATGTCTAGTATATTTACGAAGAAATATGTCTAGTAAATGGGAGCCGATTAATGAGATAAAAACTACCCGAGCGGCATCCTTGAGCGGACCCCAGCATTCAACGTGATTGTATTTCTTTGAGGTCGAATGAAAAAAGACACGAACTACCGCATCCATTAGTTCTTGATGTTCTCTGAACAGATCTGAATCTCCATACAGCACAGCCTCAAGTACCTTAAAAAGTTTCAAATCATGTTAAAATTTAAGTTTTATAAGAACGTTTTAGAGCAAGATTACACGACTCAACATTTCTTTGACTGAATGTAGATCTTGAGGTTGTGATTTAACATTATACAAGATGAACTTACCAAAGGCAATTCCTTGGAAAATATGTAGTATCTAAATTCTGCAGCCAGGTCTAGAAATCGATTTGGTCCGCTCACGTAACAATGGACATCGAGGAACAAGTTACCATTCACTCTCGTCCACTCGGCAAGCACATCATCTTTATTATACCAACCTTTCAACTGACAAAGAATATAGACTTCAAGCAAAAATCAAATCTTTAGACTGAAAATGCAATCTGAAAATCAGATGAACTTCTACTATATAGAAGAACAATGTGGTATTTTTACCTGATCACGGTTGATGATATTTGAGATGGTTAATGTTAGATTGGCTGTAAAGTCACAATGGGAGAGGGTGTATGTTCTAGGCATAATTCTGGTGCTCCTATCTGATTCTTCTCCCATGAATACAACTTTCAACTTCGAAGCTTCAAATCTTGCCGGAGGACCCAAAAGTTTTGCAGCCTATCAAGAGATATACACCAGAATCTCAGCAGGTTTAACGTTAATAGCATGAAAACTTTCTGAATTCAAAATTCTTAAAGAAAGATTGTAGAGAACATAGAATATGAACTTCGGGATAAAAGAGGAATCTGTACTCCGAAACTTTGAGAGAAAATAGCCCAACAAATGGTCTGGTCCTATTTGGGTGTCCATTTTTGGTACATTCGAGTAAAAGATGTTAAAATCTCATTTATTGTACATTCGTATAGTCCAAACTGAACATGCTCTAAAGTTTTATCAAGTTAACAACAAATTACAGTCACTGAAGTTTCCCCGAGCAAATAAGCAATACTTGAGCTAAATGTTGGCTTGAAGGAACAACATCTAACAAAAAATAAACGGTCTAAATATCCTTCATTTTTAAGCTATATACTAATTGCCCTAATTGTAACTTTGCAATAGAAAGAAAAAGACTCAACTCGACCGCACAACAAACAAGACGTTTATAACATTAAGTGCATTTTGATAGACACTATAAGATGGGCACTATCTAATGCTCTCTACTAAACATGCCAAAACAGTACAAACCAAGAAGGGCGAGTCGAATACCAAACAAGATATTAGCTTCTTTTTCTTTCATGGTCGAACAAGCGAAAAATATACTTAAATTAGAGAAAAAGAAGAACCTGGAAACCAAGGGTATTGTAAGATTGTCTTCTGTCAGGCAAAACAGCAGTTGGTGAAGGCTTGACTTTACAGTTATGAATGAAAGAAAGATCTCTTTGAGGAGATGGTGAAAATGCATAATAATGAGGAGTATACTGAATGGCCATGGACTGCACAACAAATTCATCCTCTTTCTTGCATTAATATTATCTTATTTTGCCTAAATACTTTACAAACATTCACTTTTCTCTCCTCTCTGTTTCTTTCTCTATCAGTGAGTGCTTTGTGAGTGAAAATGTATGTGACACAGAGAAACAGGTATGTGGACAGAGAATTGGTGTAGGAAATTGATATGGGTCTTGTGGGCCCAAAATATCATGATCAACCAATGGCACCACACGTCTTCTAGCCTCTCTTTCTCTCTTTATAATATTAATATATATTTAAATGTGTTTTTAATTTTATTTTGTTTTGATTTTGGGTTAGCTTAGCCTCTCTTTCTCTCCTTATAATATTAATATATATTTTGTTTTGTTTTGATTTTAGGTTATTCTGACATAGACTAGATACTTGAGGATGAGGTTGGCTTTGAGACATGGTTCCAACATTTTTCCCCCTATATAGCTTTTGTTTGATTTAGCTAAAAAAGTTGATAAAAATTTAAATTAAGTCAAAATTATTTTAACGACACTTTTATTGAGATCCACAACTTTTATTAATTTTTTAATTACATATTTCATTAATTCTTATCAAAATTTATTAAAAATTTAATTTTTAGTAAAACCAACAGGGGGATGATGTAGTTAATATTTCGCTCCTTGCTCGAGGAGCGACATACCCAGAAAAAGAAAAGATTGAAAGTGATGATTTATGGTTGACTTTCTTGGTTACGTTTTCTTAGGTTGGGATGAGATCGGTTCCAAGCTCCACAATGAGGCCCATTTTCAGGGCCCAACCCAATAAGGCTGAAAAGACCCAATTATAACCATGGTGAGATGGTCTTTAAACTAAGAAGATGGCATAAGAAAGACTGACACAAATAACACCAAATTAGGTCAATAAAAATACTAAAGAGTGAGCCCCACCATTTGATTTAGATAAAAACTAGATTTTTAGTAGATTTTGATAAAAATTGGCGAAGCATGCAGTTAAAAAATTGCGGATCCCATAAAATATATTGTTAAAATTAAGATTTTGATTGAAACTTTAATTTAACTTTTCAGTTGAACCAAACACGAGCTTAATATCTAAGATCTCTGGATCTTTTAAAAATTACAGAAACTTAATTTAAGGTTTGTTTTCCATAACAGAATTTCCAGTGTCAATGAATAGCTAATTTGTATTTTTTCACATTACGCTTCTATATATTTGTATTATCGATTTAAATCTGTTGTTCAAAAATATTTAGATTAAGATCATTTTACCTGTTTTTCTCATTTCTTAAAGGGTAATCATTATTCTGTCAAAAAAGTCCATTGAAAAAGCATAAAACGACTTATTTGCCATTATAAAACGACTTATTTGCCATTATAATATTTTATTTTTCAATTTGAGTGCTTTCGGCTGAAAAAAGGTAGAAAAATGAAGCATTCGTGCGTGTACATTATATAACTCATAGAAGGAATGCACTTAAAAAAAAAAAAAAAAAAACTTCATTATAAAATTGACACAACAAAATTTATGATGTGATTGCGACCTATTTGAAACTAGTTTGATTTATGTATTAATGGATCTTTGTTTTTGCAAGCAAAATGACAAAAAAGTTATTTCTTGAATCAACTAAAAATATAATACGATATTGTATAGTCAATTACTAGTACCTTAGTTATGACTACTGATGTAGAACAGCCTTAAAAATTTTACGTGAGGTGATTTATTAGGATTAATCTAGATGTACATTTTGTTTTACATTATGGTTGACATTCTCACCAGTGTGGTACAATTTGGGCATTCATATGAAAGGGTGTTGGAAAAATCAAAAGAGATGATGGTACTATGTTGAAGAATGTCAACAAAAATGTAAACATTAATGTATATGCAGCATGATTGAATTTATTATGTTACCATATAATGTAAGATCAAGAATTCAAATCTTGCTATCACCTATTTTTAAGCATTGCTTGTGTAATCACAATTCAATGTGCATATACATGAAGCGCGTTGAAGATGAAAACAATTCAAACGGTTTATACCTTTAGATAATAGGTTGAAGTTGTGATTTCAAGGTAGTGAAATACCTTGAATTGGTCTTTCTAACCATATTTTCCTATATTAAACACTTTCCATTGTACAAATTTTTGAAGTGACTAAACCTGTAATCTCAACTATTTATGTACCTTATTGTAATATAAATATATGGTAATAAGCATTTAGATAAGATGACTCTTGAGTTCAAGTCTTTCACCATTCATGTATAAAATTGTTTATGTTTCAAGCATTGGATGAAAGAAATAAGCTTTAACATATTGAAGATATAAATGAAAATCAAAATTCTCCTTTACCTAACCATTTAAATTTTAAGATGACATAGTTGAATAGAAACAATTGTTGAAAATTAGACATCTTAATTCTATAAAACCAAGAGTAATAAAATCATAATAAGGAAAATTTATAGAGGCTCACTTAACATGAGTCTATGTCCTGTCCGTCGCTACAGTAATTCACTATAATGAAAAAAATTTACAAGAGAAAAATTACACACCTTATCTTCTATAATATATCTATTTCTTTTATGACGATACAAAATCATAAGATCAATTCGCGTACGAACTCCGCACAACGACAATAATTTGGCTCCACAACTTATCACTGCTTAGAACAACTATTATGTGGTGTCATTACAAAATCAATTAGGTAGTGATAAGTTTCTCCAATTCTGATTTCATAATGACTTCCCCACGAACTTAAGGAAGAGCTACTCAAAGAAAATTATTTAAGTCACAAACCCTACTGGCACTCATTATCTTTATTTGTGTATTAAATAGTTTCTTTGTTGGCAAAAAGACTAGACAAAAAGTGGTCAAGTTGCTTTTGGGACTTCTTCAACAACACTTTACCCTTATGAACTGGGGCTTGTCCCCCTTCTTTGGTTTCTCCTAATTATTAAATTCCATTCTCCTCATGTTTGCATGATTGAATATGAAGAATCTATTTTTTCTTAGTGTTTTTATGGGTTTTCACAGGGCATTTCAAATTTTCACATGTTTTAATTTGGAGTACTTTGAAATTTAAAGATTTTAGTTAAGTAGAATTAAGACGTCATTTTAGAACTATATATGATGTATATAGTAGAAACAAGGATTATAAGATAAATGTATGATCGCACTAAATTGGAAAAGATAAATTAAACACGACTCTAGCAATGAAGATGTGTTTTGTGTAAACTATAAGAGGTTTTTGTTCGTAAAAGTGAGACAATTTGAATAGAATGTTGTGCAAATATAGACGTATATTACTGATTTTTGTATTTTAACTAATTCTGACTCCAAAGCGTTCCCTACGAATTGAAAAGGATTAGTTCCAACTACTATGGGGGCTAATTTAATGGGATAATTCCATAACTTACTTTATTACCAGAGACACATCTTTTCTAGGTGGAGTAAAGACTACAAGAACAACAACACAAACAGCTTATAATTATTATATACGAACATTGTCTGCCACTGTTTCTTCTTTCCTTAAACAAACAATCTGGCAGTCTTCTGACATTGTTCATCATGTCTAAAGCAATCCTTGGCAATTAAAATAGAGACTCTGTGCAAGAATTTGATTTGTCTCCCTTCCTCCTCCTATCGAAATACTCGTCTCAGATAGCTTTGGTCGGGCATTTGATTTGTCTCCCTTCCACTTTTTGATCGTGTGTCAGTTAGCTCTGGTGGCTCTTTCTGCAGTGACATTTGAATTGTCTCCCTTTGTCTTTTGAAACGCTGAACCTGGATAGGTTGGTGGTGTAATCGTCATGTCGGGTTCCTGGAGTTACAAGTGGCTAATCTTGAGTTTTCTTGCACTCATTTTCATATCAGAAGCATCAAGAGTGCCTAAGGTACATTGGGACCAAATGCTGCCTAAAAAGCTGCCTTCCCCCTCTTCAGCTCCTTCCAAAGGCACAAATTCTGTCACTACATCTTCTACGGCTGTAAAAACGGAGAGAAATCTCCCTTCATCAGATGGAAAAGTTTAGCCGGATTCGAGTAGGTAGCTCGATCAATGTCTTGAACAACTGATGGATCGACTGCATATACTACAATGCAATGAGTTCTGCAGGACGAAAATAGTCTGTTGTGGACGGTTTGAAGATACACTGCAGATATACATAATCAGAAGAAAGAGGATCTTATTTATGATCCAACAGTTGGGATTTCAAATGCACAGATATATGTCTAGTTTGTATGTAGACTAAATCTAATTCTTTGGATAACTTGATGATTTCACTGTAACTTTTTTAGTGCAAACTAAGTGTTAATTCTTCTCCTCATAGAATGAATAAAACTCAAGTACTCATATATGTCCGATTCTTGATATTTACAACATGTTTGATATGATGAACTGGACTAACTTCACAAACATGATTAAACTAGCTATATTTATGGCCTATTTCCTCGTGCTTTCATCTATGGCAAATCGTTAATTCCAAAACATTTCTTTTTCTATGTTTTCAACTCCTCTTTTGTTTTAAAAAACAAAAATTCCGTTTAAACTTCTGTATTTGTTGCTTTGGATCATTCATTGTATTAGTTTTAGCTTTGTATCATCTCTTTTGTCTTAAAGGTAGGATAATGATCACGAAAGTTCTCCCTTTAATTATTGCTGAAGTCCTTCCTTAAAGTAAAAATTAAAATATCTAAATAAATAAAGGGTGAACATCAAAAAAATAAGCCGCATTCATGAAATGAGACTTCACGTTGTAAAAAGAAACATACTTTTTCGATAGAAATAATCAAACAAATTGAGTGATGAAAATGTGTTGATGTAGTTGACCTTCACTCTCCACTCAAATAGAAGAGAAAACAAAGAACTTGAGGTAACCAAACTATGAACAACCTCAAACTTGAAGGGCGAGTTAGAAATATTACTATCTTTACAGAATTTTGAAAAAACGTGACCCTTTTTTTCCTCCGAGATTCCTAAGCAGGTGTTTGTCGCCCAAGGGCCAAGATTCGGAAGCATA